GTAGTGCAAAAGATATCAAATGTAGTTTTAGCCATATGTTTTAAACTAAAGAATATGTTGTTAACTCTTAACAGTTTCCAGTATTCTCACTTTATAAATGAACAGCAACAGAGCAGCAACTGAAACACTTCACCCTCCAACCCTCTGGTGGGCGCCGCCTCCTGCCTTAATGCGTCTGTGGCTTTGACCAGAGGGTCTCGCAGTAAAATCACACAACACAGCGTTCTTTTACAGATCAGAGAGCAGGTTTCTCTAAAGATGACCAACGCTTACTTTAACTTTTGACGAAAAACAAACGTTCGACGGAACACAGCGTTTTGCGCATGCGTCAGAATACGGCAACTCTACGGCAAGCTGGGCGTAGTTAGCTTGTAGCTTCGCTACTTAGCTCTCGAAGAAAAGACTTTAACGCCACTTGCGCACAGTTTTCAACTCAAAAAAAGTAACGATTAAACTGACAACTCTGATTTAACTTCAGACACAGCGTTACTGCGGTTAGCCGGTAGAAGTCAGATCTCTATCGTAGGCTAAATGTTTCTACCGTGTACCGTTTATATCGCACATTCCTAACGCGCAACAGAAAATTTGTTTTTTGTCTAAACCAAGTGTGCAACAATGGAAACATTCACAAGATGCTGCAAATCAAATGTCCATTTGGGTTTTTCTTACTTGATCATTATTTAAAATGGAAGCAACAGAAAAAGAATGTTACATGCTAAAGCAACAGTTGTTCTGTAAATCTGCTGCTAACTCGCAGACCTAGTCTCTGACCAGGCTTTAAAATAATTAAAATCACTACATATATGAAAGGAGCAATAAAAAGGATACATGTGTGCACTCTTAATACAGCCGTGAAATAAGAAAATGGTATTTGAAGGGAAAGAGCAAATGAACTAGTTCCAGCTTTGACAGTGTTAATAGATTTGACACTGACCCACTGTTTCACCTGAGGGTTCAAAACTCTTAACATTAGGGAACGGTTTTATTGTCCCACATTGTGGATCGATAAAAGAGAATTGGAGATAACCTCCGTCTGTGCATGATGTGAGCACGATAACTTGAAAAACAAATCTTAGGCCCAATTCCATTTTGGTGTGTGTCTGCATCCAGACATAAAAAAGGTCCTCGTCGAAAACTGGAATGACGTATAAAAACCCAAGATGGCCACTACCATATATGTGAACCGACCTCCCAGATCATTTGAGGAAACTACGCTTTCTAGTTTTTACATTGCTTGAAAGTATAGTTTCCTCAAAGGATTGGGGTGGCTGAACATTAAATCTACTGGCCACCCCATTGCACGTGACGGTGGATAAAATTGCTCCCTCTACTCGCCCGGCTCCATCACTGCCTGCCCCAGACAAGAATAAAAGACAAAACCTACCTCTCTTCTTCTGCACAGTGTAGCTCCTACCTCCATGAACATCATGCACCAAAAACTTTACGGTTTACTTTCATTCCCTGTTCAATTCCAGTCCTGAAAAACTTGAAGAACTCTTCTTGAAAACTACAACCATTCACTGTCCAAAGCCTTCAGCGACAGGGACGTCAGTTCGTGCTGCTGTTCGGCATATTGTTTTTATGTTATGAGTGCTTAGTGTATATTTAGTTGATGTTTGTCTTAGTTCATATCTTAGATCTTATTACTGTTTTAATTTTACATTTTATTGTTGGATGTAACTGGGACCCTGTGAACATAATTTTGTTCCACCACATGTACCACATGGGGTAGAAAATAAAGAATCCTTGAATCCTTATTCAAATGATTTGTACCTCACTGGTTTACAGTTTCCATTACCTCCTCTGGCTGGAGCTCCTGTATCTTTGGCCTTTTAATAATTTTACTCAGTGCCTCTGCATTTAGGACACACACACACAGGTTTGTTTTGCTATCTTTGTGGGGCCTTTGCATTGACTTCCATTCATTTTTCATTCATTTCTATAGCCTAACCATGACCTTTATCCATAACCTAACCATTACCAGTACATACCTAACCCTAAACCTAACACATCCTCAATTCACACCTTAGTCCTAAACCTAGCCCCTAACCCACCAACGGGACTTCTTCTTATGGGGCCCGGGCTTTGGGCCCCATAAGGAGCAGTTGGTCCTCACAATGTAGTATAAGTTGGAAAAATGGGCCTCACAAAGTAGCATAAACAAGGACACACACACACACACACACACAATTAAGTCAAGTTGTAAATGAAAGATGTAGAAATCTGTCAAAAAATTAATGAAGTACACTTTTTCTGTTTTTACAGTCATGACTTTATAATTTTTATCTAAATTTTTCAATTTGTTTACACAAAACTAGTTATTTATGAGACTAAGCAGTTCAATTTAGTTTTACTGATTGTACAGTAGTTACTTTCCTAATGTTAAATTTAAGATGGGAACCCAAAACAACATCCAAGTCTTTTTTAACTTTTCTGCCTTTTTGTTTTTCTTCTGATCAGTAATCACAATCAAATCATTACTGACGTTTGTTTTGCTTGTTAAACCAAAGAGATCATTTTGATTCAGCTCAGAGATGAAGAATATTAGTTAAACCACTGAGACGCTCCCATCCTGTGCCTGCTGTGGAGTCTTTCCAGTTACAACATCATCTGCAAACATTTGAAGCTGAAAATGTTTACAACTTTTAAATAAATCATTAATGTACAAGCAAAAACAAGTGTCCTAAAATAGAACCTTGCGGAATGCCCATTTTGCATCTTTCAAAGGTTTGTTTAGTCACATTACCTTTAACATGTTGTTCTTTATTTTCTAACTATAAAGAGAACTAGTTAGCACAGTTGTCAAAGTGCACCACATTTATGGAGGAGCATCATATGAGTTCCTGTACCAGCGTTTTTCTAGGTCTAAGAGTGCCGTCTCCTAAAGTTGTGGCAAACAAACATTTCAACCAGCAGGGAGTGTAACTGGAAAACTTAAATGATCTCCAATAAGATCATTTTAAACATAACCAGGTTAAATGAAACTGCATGAAAGTACAGCCAAGTATCTTGTGAAGACTCAGCAGAAGTACCAGGAGGAACGTCTGTGGCAGAAGGCAGAACTTGCTGAGGATGACACAGCGACAGTTTCTCTTCTGACACAGCGTCTTAGGGCAAACGTCTAGTCATGGACTGATTGGCAGAAATGAATGTCATAAAAAAGACAAGGACAAAACGTCCTACCATCATTAAAGCAGTGAGGAAAACTTCAAACTGGGCCAGAACTGCTGATGAATGACAGTCTGACCCAGAACTTGTCTAAATAAACGGGGGATTTTTAATGAGCCGGTGTAGAAAGAAACTGGAAATGTAAGAAAAGTGTGTGTTCTGTCCAAACTTCAAGTCGTCTGTGAGCACAAGCTGGTGGAGAACACTGAACAAGTTGGTGCTTGGACGCAGTGAAAGGATCCCTGTGTCCTCCCCACGTCCAGCAGCTCCGTTTGAAACAAAACATTATTCCAGCTGCGACTTCACAATCGTCCTCCTGTGACCTCGCCTCAAGTGTGTGAACGTCTCTAAACCGTTCACGCCCGTTTATCTTCGGTACGGCTTTCAGCACGCAGCTCCTTCCACTGTTTTTGTGCAAGTTCAACAATTCATTTATCAAAATGTTCAGCTCATTCAGCACATTCCTGCTACATTTAGCTGTTTCGGCCACGTTTTTCCTCATTGAAGATGAGTGGAGCCGTCCCACGTCCTTCAAATCCTGTTACTGCTCATTTCAGCTTTTCTTCTGGTTCAGCTTTTTTCAGCGTCTTTATTCTAAATTCAGCTTTTTCTCTGCTACGTTTTAGGCATTTTTCTGTTAATTTTAGCCTTTTTATTTTGAGCTTATTTCTACCTTTTGTGCTTCTTTCTAACAAGTGTAATGTAAATGTATTTTTTTGTTTTTTCAGCTATTTTTTAAACTAATTTTAGTCTTTTCTGCACATTTCTGTTTCTTTTTGCCACCACTCTCGGCCCATTTCTGTTTTCTACACATTTCTGCTGTTTTTCTCATTTTATTTCTGCTTTCAGCAAATGTTAAAATTAAACTTTTAAAGTTTCACTTTTAAGCTAAAGTTCAGCTCACTCACAGTTCAGCAGCTGGGCAGCTGTGGCAGCTTGGTGGTCCGTGCCACCGTCTTGTAATGCTGAGGTTGCAGGTTCGAGACCAGGAAGGGCATCTGGCATAAAACAAACCAAATCTTTCATGCGAGTTTGCTCGCTGTGGCAACCCCTGAAGAGGGAGCAGCCGAAATAAACGTAAGTGCTATTAAGAGTTTAGCAGCCGAAGCTTTCACGGCCTGGTTTCTTCTTCTTCAGCTGCTCAGCTGCGGTCATTCAACAACCACATCATTGGTGCAGGGTGTGCAGTCTCTCTAGGTGGATGTTGAACTCATTCTTGACCAAGCTGACTGTGGTTTAGTCAAAGCGTGTCTTTAGGTGGTAACAACGACGAAGCTCGGATAACGTGCACGTTCCTGTAGATGCAGGAGCACATTTGCTCTGAATGTTTCTACAAACAAGTTTCAAGTGAGATCAAGTTCTGTTTGTTTGCGGGAGATTATTTCAAACAGCTTCTCCGTGACCTAACGGGGTAGTGTTGGGAAATCGTTCATTTGAAACCAAAGCCGGGTGCATGTCGTGCACGTGCTTCCATCTGTCAGAGGCTGACGCTTCAGTCAGACTTCTCACCTGCACCGTGGTGAGGAGTTAATCCTTTCCTCTTAACAGCTGTCTTTAGAAGAGCACAACACTCAGAGGAAGCTTCGGCTCTGACCCGTCAGTCAGGACTGAGGAGTGCCAGGATCAGAGCAGCACTCAGCTAAAGACCGCTTCAGCTGAGCGCTGTGGAGGGCTCTAACAGCCGAGGTGCGTTTGGCTCCGTGCAGAGTGAAGCTCTTATTTTCAGCGGTATCGTCTGCGCCTCTGACTCTGAGCTGACTTGTGTGTGTGATTCTAAAATGACCGGTTACGTGATGGTTGGTAACAAAGTGCCACGTGTGTGTTTCTTCCAGGAGCCTCCCTGAAAGTGTGTCCGCAGGGTTTCTCCTGCTGCACCGTGGAGCTGGAGGAGAAGCTGAGCCAGCAGAGCCACACGGAGATCAAAGCCCCGGTGTCCAGGCTCAGCACCAGCCTGCAGTCCACCTTCAAACAGAGGCACGACCACTTTGACAGTAAGCAAACACGCTTACACAAACTCTCACCAGGCACACTCTGACCACCACGCACGCTGTGCCACCGTTTCCATGTCGGGGCTTGTGTTTCACCGTTTTTGACGGATGCCCCCACCTGCCATCGCACTGCTCCAGGCGGAGACAGTCAGTCTGTGTCCACCTGTCTCTCAGTGTCTCAGCTCCCTGCCTGATCGTCCCCCCCCGCTACACCCGCTTCCCTCCCCTCCTGAGAGATGATGCGTGCCTCCAGACAGACCACACACACCCTCAGATCTTTGTCTTCTCTGGACTTCCTGTTCCTCTGTGTGCGAGCACATGTGTGCACGCCTGTAAATATTGGGATCAGGTTTCCCCTCGCTGACGAGCGGAGCGCATGGGAACGTGCAGCAGTGCTGACTCACAGAGGGAGGGGGCAGTTTTCAGTGCCCCCCCGCCGCAGCTCTGCAGGGGATGAGGCCGAACGCACCGAGCAGCGATCGCGCTGCAGCACGCTGGAGGTTTGTCGCGTTAAAGGAGGTTTCATGCAGAGCTGTGCGTGCATAAGTCTTAGTGCGTTGGCAGGTCAGAGATCTTCAGCTCGTGTGCGTGTGCGTGCGTGTGTGCGTGTGTGCGTGCGTGTGTGTGTGTGTGTGAAAGGCAGCGAGGGATTGTTGGTAACAGGGAGCGTGTATTGCAGCCAGATGTTGGGAGGAATGTGACGTGCTGGAATGCAGTGGCTGCTCGGCCCCTCTCCATTTCTCTTCCCTGCTCTTTGAACCCCCCGCTCTGTGCACCTCAGTGCACGTGATCTCTTTCCATTTGACTGCTGGGTTGTGGCTCCACCGTCTCTTTAAACAGATATCTTCTTTTGAGACCGACTTCAAGTTATTGATAATTTACTAACAAACTGGTCAGAGCCATGGCAGGCTGTAAACACAAACAAACAAACAAACAAACAGACAAACAGACAAACAGATGTGGTTTCAGATGTTACAACGGAGGGCTTGCCTTGTGTCTCGTGTTTGACCGTATGTTCAGTGATTTGACAGCAGGAACACAGTCGTCGAGAGCGTTTCCTCCAGGGTTTTGCACAACTAAAAACATCTGTTTTCAACACGACGGAGACGTCAAGAGTTTTCTTCGTCATCGTGACTTTATCCAGTCGCTCCACATCAAACAATGATCGCAAAGATATTCTTTTACGTTACATGCTGTAAAGGATTTATACACAGGAACATGGCAGCAGGTCTGCTGTGCTGTTTCTCACTGAAATATATATCATAGTTTATATATATATATGTATATATATATATATACACTTTGAAGAACTTGGGTGTTAAAATATTCATGTAAAGGAGTAATGTTATTCTTCAAAGAATTGTGTGTGGAAGTGTTTGTGGCATTGGCAGCAAGCCAGAAGTAAAGATTTGTTAATAAAGCACAAAAGACACTGGAAAAGTAAATTAAATCAAGGATTAAAACAAAAATAAAGCAGTAAAATGATGGAAAGACTTCTACTGTAGAAGCACTGGACATAAATGTAACGTACGAACGGTGTTGGAGCCTGCAGACTCCTGATGACCTGTGTGTAGCAGCTCACAGCAGCTCTGCTCCAGGGTTTTCAAGCAGAGCTCTTGAGAAAACAATGTTTGCTCATTCACTTTGAGCCTCCACACGTCCAGCTGTGACTGACTGAAACAAAGGAGGAGTATTTACACGCTGCCACCTCATGTTGCACTCATGCAGTCTTTGATTTGGACCTTGGCTTCATGAACTGCACGTGTCACTAGATGAAGACACGGGAGCAGTTGGTGTGAAGCGCTGCACTCACACCTGACCTGGCAACAAAACGTTACCAGCTTTGATGGAAACCACTGAAATCACAGGACACGCAGATGTTTCATGCTCCAGATGTTTCAGGAAAACACGCTGGCTTGTTAGTTCGTTTGTTAGTGGTTGGGTCGTACAGAGGACAGTAAAACTCATCTTCACACTTCATCCCCCCCGTGTGCCCCCTCTTCATCACTGCCGGCAGACTCCTGCTTTCTCTGAAGCGTTACATGTGGAATGTCTTTACAAAGACCTGCTGTGCTCTTCACCTGGACCATTGGACCATTGGACCATTAGAGCATTAGAGCATTAGAGCAGCTCTCTCACTGGATCCCATGACAGGCTCAGGTTGCTGTCCCATTATGTCCCGTTGTCACATGGACACAACTCCAAGAACACTTTCTTCTCCCCCAGCTGGTGAAACTACCACCACTTCTGTCCCTCACCAGGAGCGTGCACGTGTATATATAAACACAGCTGCAGCTGCACATCAACACCACAGCTATAACGTGCGTTCACACACCAGACAACGTCAGGAAGTGGTGCCTGTGATAAGACCCCCCCCCATCATGCGCCCGGAGCGAGGAGTCATGGCCAAAGAAGACCAGAGCCAGAACTGGTTCTCCTCCCTGTGTCTCGTCCTGGCCTCACCCCCCGTCCTGCTGCACTGACCCTGTCCAGCAGTGCACGTCCGTGTCTGGGAATGAAGCACGTGGATGAAGACGCACGTCTCTTTTGCCTCCAGACTCTCACACACAACAAGAGACGTCCATCAGAAGCAGTGAGCTCCAGCAGCAGGAGGGACACGGCCTTAAGAAAAGAGGGGAAGAAGCTCAGCGACTAATTGGCACAAATAGGATGCAATTACTGCCTGGACTGGGACTGGGAGGAGCAGAGACCACTGGTGGGTGGTGTGGGGGTGAAAAGGGAGGGGGAGCTCCTTGCAGGAGGAAGTGGGAGGAGACGGGTCGGTCAGCTCCTCTTTTTCCTGTGATGGATTGAAGCGTGTTGCTCTTCTCCGCTTCACGTTCAAATGGAGTGGAGGAGAAGTGAAATTCATCCATCGCTCCCTCTCTCCGTCTTCCGTTCAACCCTTCACCCACATTCCCCCCCCCCCCCCC